AGGGGTTCTCTTCCCCCCCCCCCCCCCCCTTTTACCTCCTGTCCTCATATATCTTACAGTTAGGTGAAGGCCCTTCTCTGACCAGAGCCTCTGTAGTCCAGAAAACAGCCCTGTCCCTTTACAGGACCATATGACAGGAGCAGTGTGTGTTCTCTCCAGTAGTCTGCGCTGCCCAATGGTGACAAAAATGTAAATGCTGCATGCGTTACCATTCCTCTTCTGCACTGTCCCTCCATGTTGCTTTGTGATTCAGTCCTGGCTCCAAAATGGCTACCACTCCATGGCTGCTCCAAAATAGCAAGTCCATGCATGCGCAAAAGGAAAAAGGGACTCCAGCAAAATGGCTACATTACAGGCCAGCCCTGCATCTTCTGACTCTGTCCTTGTGGGGTGCAGGGCACGGCCCCCAAAGCTCTAGCTGAGGGATGCCAATATGGAAAAAAATGCATCATTGCCACCATGGCCATGTGCATTTAAAAAATTTTGGTTGAAAACATCATATTGTAGGATTTAATTATAAATGCAATAATGTGCCGAGCTGAAGAAACAATCAAATATAAACAGTGAAATATACAACAATGATTATAGGCTGAACTCAAACCACATAACATACACAGTGAAATAAAGTCCAAAAATATTTAATTATGTTTTCTCAAAGAGCAAAAAAACCCCACATCTATCACCTAAGGACCCAAGCAAAAAACTGAGGATCTCCTGAGATGGGAGGGGGTTGTATAGGCTAATACAGCTCTAGCCAGTGTCCAGTCGCCTGACGATACCACAGTATACCCAATCATCTTGATTTGCCCTGTTTCCTGAACTGTACAATCAAGAAAAACATTTTAACCCCTTCGTGACTGACGACGTACAGTGTACGTCGCCAGCATCGGGGCTGTTTAAACAGACTCCCGGCGACTTTTGCCGCCGGGAGTCTGTTTAAACTTGTAGAGCCGACTGTCGGCTTTACAACAGAAGCGATCCTGGCGACTTACCTGTCGCCAGATCGCTTCTG